ACTAAGAGCTAATCTTACCTACTATAGTTAAACTATCTCTGTAATATTACTCCTCTCTGTCATTAGTGATAACTAACCCTTAAACATGTCCGAATTTGAAAAAGAAAAAAAATCACTTACCTGAGACGATGAGTGAGCGCTTGGCTGCTGATCCGCCATTTTGGCGCCAGTGGTTTAAAACGGTGGCGGGGCGCATGCGCACTTCGTGGAATCGATTCATCTTCCCTCGGATAGTAATGCCTGTGACAATGATGACGTATTTTTGACAGTCGTTTCGCACACCGCACTTCGTGGTCGCAATTCGCATGTCGTGTAACAGAGCTGTTGTGAAAACAAGCGTTGTGTCTGTAAACTGTCATAGTCGTACATTTTGGAGTTGTACTCGTAACAAACACACAAAATCTCGTATCTGTAAACTGTCGTGGCCGTAGATTTTGGAATCCAACTCTGACAAAAAACAGAATTACATACAATACTTTTAAATTACGCACGAGTAAATTAAAATGACACACAAATGCTTTGAATTACGTACGATTATTTTTGACAGTGATTTTATTCCATAGGAATGAAACTTTGCAAGCGCTTTCACTGCAAAAATGATTCTTTTACTTAGTATTTGTGTCTAGTTTTCTAGTATAAATATCTAAACATGCTTGAATCAAGATGAATTTACTGTACAAGTAAAATGATTTAAGATGTTAAGTCTTGTTCTTGTTGAAAAAAATTTCAAAATTGTGTTAGTTTTTGCTTAAAACAAGCAAAAATATCTGCCAATGGAGTAAGAAAAATTATCTTAATTAAAAGCTAAACAAGATTATTTTTCTTGCCCCTTTGGCAGATATTTTTGCTTGTTTTAAGCAAAAACTAACACAATTTTGAATTTTTTTACAGAAAACAAGACGTTAACATCTTGAGTCATTTTACTTGTACAGTAAATGCATCTTGATTCAAGAATTTTTTGATATTTATAATAGAAAACAATACTTTTTTTTGCAGTGTTACAACCCTCAAAATACACATCATTTATTATTCTGAGATTTTTCACAAGAGATATAACCAGAATCAAATCAATGAGGGTGCTTCTTAAAGGGTTAGTTCACCCAAAAATGAAAATTAGCCCATGTTTTACTCACCCTCGAAGCATCCTAGGTGTATATGACTTTCTTCTTTCAGACGAATCCAAGTCTTTATAATGGCAGTGAATGGGTGTTTTTGTTCAACAGTCCAAAACTAGTCAAATTATTCACCGGGGGAAAAATATCCGTATTTAAAATGTTAAAAACACTTTTCTCCAACTTTCGGCTAACTGTCGCACGCGGAAGCCGTTCCGGTCAGATAACATAAGACGTATATATTTTTCTTACAAAAATGCATGGATTCTCTACAGGAGGCCTTTATTCACCCCCCAGAGCCGTGTGAGGCATGTTTTATTATAGATGCACGCGCTTTATTTGACTACTTTTGGACTGTTGAACAAAAAACACCCATTCACTGCCATTATAAAGACTGGAAGAACCAGGATAATTTTAATATAACTCCGATTGGATTCGTCTGAAAGAAGAAAGTCATATACACCTAGAATGCTTCGAGGGTGAGTAAAACATGGGCTAATTTTCATTTTTTGGGTGAACTAACCATTTAAATTAGTGAGGGTGCTTTAACCTTAATATATAGGCTATATAAAGGTTTTAGTGCCGTCCACTACTACTGCGCAAAAAGCGCTCCATTTTTAATCACTAAAAAGCTGTCACTCATCTTAGTTCATCACAAACTCACAAATTACGTTATCAATGAAGTTCTCTACGCTGCACTATGAATCTCTTATTTACATTGCACCTATACACTTTGTTATAATGAGATGATTCGTGCTGAACACCGAAACAAAAACTCCGGCGATTTGCCTCTGAATAACTGTTCCGTACAAGAAATCAACAGATATGTCTGTGATTGGCTATTGCTCAACACTGCAAAGTACGTTGAAATAGAAATAGTTTGGGATAGTTTGCTAAATCGGCAATGAAATGCCATTATTACAGCTTTAACTGAGGGTGATATTGAATTCATTTGAGGGTGCTTAGAACCGGGCCTGGATATAACCATGCTTCCTGTTGTGTATGGAGCACCATTAGTGTCAAAATTATCTTTTTGTAAAATTATCTACGAAGTTATATTAGTGTCAAAAACTTTACTTAGCCTTTTCCACACATCTCACACACTTATCAGACTGCAAATGAATGAATGTGTACTTCTATTGATGAACCATTGCAGCATGAAAAACTGATCATTTTTATCAAGTGATTTACTCATTAATGACAAGTTGCTGATCAGATACAATGTGGTTATACTTGAAAAATATTATAATTGTTTCATAAAATAATGATTCTTTGGGTCCAAATGGACCCGGAATGTAAAAAAGGTCTACATTAATTTAATTTAAGGTATAAATTGAAGGGAACACGAATCCAGTATTTCTATTTCGTCCAGTATTTCTGTCGTTTTCCAGTGCAAATGTGTACAAGATTCTGAAATTAAGATACATTTACTGGAGATGCAAAATGAACATAAGACGTCTTCAAATGAACTGAGTTCATGATCACAAGAAGAACAAATATCTGTTAATGAGCTCAGAAAATCAACTTAAATTAAAGGGAAAATCAAGTTTTCATTCCCCATTGGCAGATATTTGTTCTTGTTTTAATAATAAACTCTTAAAACAAGACTTCATGTGTTTATTCTGCATCTGCAGTAAATGTGTCTTGATTTAAGGATGTTTAGATATTTGTACTGGAAAACACGACAGAAATACTGAGGAGGATGTTTGTTTTTTTTAATGAATTTAAGACTTTCTGCTCTGATTTAAGAGCTTTTAGGCTTTAATTTGTGGAAGAGCGAATTAAGAGAGAATCCAACAAGAGGAAAACTCGCACACATAATCGTAGAAATTTCTCACAAAATGCTTTTATTCAGAGGCCAAGAAGTGCACTGAGCTCAGTGCAAAGACAAGTCGTTTTCAAATCACATCGCCTCTTGTTGGACTTGTTCATTAGACATAAATGTACTTTCTTTCTTTTATTTAATGTGTTAAATAAATGGTGTTCTTTTTTTTGTACTTTATTTATTTTTCTTATACAACATAAACTAGATCAACAAGCATGGTCCAAAAAGACCAACAGTAGTACCGTACAGATATAAATATAAAAAAATAAAGGGTTACTGAAAAAGTATTAATTGTCAGAGATAAAAATCTCTGATACATATGATGTTAAAAGGTCAATCAAATCAGAAGATCACAATGATCACTTCTTGAAGGTATACAGAAAAATAACACGAAAAACAAATAAAAAATATTTCAATGAAAATTACAAAAATACAAAACAGTGTGACTAATATGGAACAACCATATTCCCAGGTGATCTAATATAGGTTTCCAAATTTTCTGAATAAATGTCCTTTCTAATAATGAGAGTTTAAAGGGTTATTTCACCCAAAAATGAAAATTCTGTCATTAATTACTCACCCTCATGTCGTTCCAAACGCGTAAGACCTTCGGTCATCTTCGGAACACAAATTAAGATATTTTTGATGAAATCTGAGAGCTCTCTGACCCTCCCATAGACAGCAAAGCAATTGAAATGTTCCCAGACACAGAAACTTAGTAAGAACATTGATAAAACAATGTGACATCAGTAGGGATGTAACGATTCACTCAACTCACGATTCGATTCACGTTTTTGTTTTTAAATTTTTACAAAATCAGATTTAAGACCAATTATAAATTAAATGTGTCCTTTTATTATTGCTTGGACAAAATGCTGCACGTTTCTTTGTACATCCCTAGACATCAGTGGCTCAACTTCAGTTTTGCGAAGCTACGAGAATACTTTTTTGCTCAAAAATAACAATTTATTCAACAATTCCACTATTTTGGAGAGTACCACAACACATGTGCGCACTTTCCCTAGAACGTAATCAACGTAATCAGCATTGTTTACGTTCAGGAGAAAATGCGTGCATGCATCGTGGTACTCTCCAGAAGGGAACTCAGGGAAAAGAATTGTTGAATAAATTATTTTTTATTTCTTTGCACACAAAAAGCATTCTTGTAGCTTTGCAACATTGAAATTGAGCCACTGATGTCACATGGACTATTTTACCGATTTCCTTACTACGTTTCTGTGTCTGGGAACATTTCAGTTGTGTTGCGGTCTATGCAGGTTCAGAAAGCTCTCGGATTTCATCAAATGTGACCCTGGAGCACAAAAGCAGTCTTAAGTCGCTGGGGTATATTTGTAGCAATAGCCAACAATACATTGTATGGGTCAAAATTATACATTTCTCTTTTATGCCAAAAATCATTAGGATATTAAGTAAAGATCATGTTCCATGAAGATATTTTGTACATTTCCTACCGTAAATATATCAAAACTTAATTTTTGATTAGTAATATGCATTGCTAAGAACTTAATTTGAACAACTTTAAAGATGATTTTCTCAATATTTAGATTTTTTTGCACCCTCAGATTCCAGATTTTCAAATATTGTCCTATCCTAACAAACCATACATCAATGGAAAGATTATTTATTCAGCTTTCTCATAAAAGTTGAGCCTTATGACTGGTTTTGTGGTCCAGGGTCACAAATATATCTTAATTTGTGTTCCGAAGATGAACGGAGGTCTTACGGGTTTGGAACGACATGAGTAATTAATGGCGTAATTTTCATTTTTGGGTGAAATGACCCTTTAATCTTGTGTTAAAATGTTTTAATATGTTTTAATCCATTCATTCATCAGGTCTGCGGAATTATCAAGTCCATGTCCAAGCAGGTTCTGGGTCCGGACGCGTGTCGGAAGGTGTCGCCGCAGAGCGAATCTGTCGCGTCCCGAGCGTCCAAGCCGGTTCTTCCGGACTGCACCGTCACCACATCCGCAGCCAGCCACAGCTGGCATCCGGCGTCTCCCAGTCCGGTCCGTCCGGCGCGCACGGACACGCAAGTCGACGTAGAACCGGACAACACCAACAGGAACAACTCGGCCAAGGTGCGTCCCGCCGTACGCGCCTATTCCACAATAGTGACGCTGTCGTCGCGCAGAGCACTGCTCCAGAGCCTCCACAACTATCAGACGATCCCGGCGGGCTGCGTGCGCGCCAGTCGACGTCACTCGCTCAACGTAAACTCGTGCAAACAGCCGGCGTACGCGCAACCGCTGCGCTCCAAACGCAGCTTATCCATGAGCGGCGGCGATATTCCCCAGATGGACTCGGGCGAGATTCGCAATGGGAGACCCTCGCTGTCCCAGTCCGAGTGGGTTCTGGAAAGCACATTATAATGGAGGATTTTGCACTTCACTTCTGTGGTTTTTAATAGCGTTTCAGGCCACCGTACATGTGTTATAATCTCAGACTGTCAAGTGTCAAGATTTACGAAGAGGACAATGTTTTTTAAGCACAAATTAAATACTGTTTCCTGCATATAGTAAAACAATATTACGACTTGTATATTTCTTTGTTTTATGGAATAATACACAGACACTGCATACAAACATGTTATGTTGTGTAAAATAAAATGTGAAAATGATACGCGTGTTCTTGTTCAGTATGCCTCACAATGCGTTGTTTGATAATAAAAGACGGAAAAGGCAGCGAAACGTCTGCGGCAAAAATTGAAGAATTGTGTGAATGGAATATACTTTGGTGCGTACGCTTGAAAAATTATACAGGTTTTATGAAGGTATATTTGAGACTTTAACACCTTTTTGCAACCAAGAAAGTAAGATTTAAAGAATAAATTGAAGGGCCAGTATTTCTGTCATTTTCCAGTGCAAATGTCTACAAGATTCTTAAATCAAGATACATTTACTGGAGAGGCAAAATGAACATAAGAAGTCTTGTTTTCTGAGAAATTTCATGATCACAACAAGAACTAATATCTGTTAATGAGCTCAGAAAATCAACTTAAATTAAAGGGAAAATCAAGTTTTCATTCCCCATTGGCAGATATTTTTTTCGTTTTAATAATAAAATAAACTCATAAAACAAGACTTCATGTGTTTATTTTGCATCTCCAGTAAATGTGTCTTGATTTAAGGATGTTTAGATATTTGTACTAGAAAACAAGACAGAAATACTGAGGAACATGATGTTTTTTTTTTTTTGCAGCACATGCAACATTTAATGCCACGACTTTATGAATTTAAGGCTTTCTGCTCTGATTTAAGAGCTTTTAGGCCTTAATTTGTGGAAGAGTCCAACAAGAGGAAAACTCATAATCGTAGAAATCTCTCAAAAAATGCTTTTATTCATAGGCCAAGAAGTGCATTGCGCTCAGTGCAAAGACAAATCGTTTTCAAATCACATCGCCTCTTGTTGGACTTGTTCATAACATAGACATAAATGTCCTTTCTAATGAGAGTTTAATCTTCTGCTAAAATGTTTTAATATGCAAATCAGCGCTGACGATGTTGAGGAATCTCAGATGAGATCTACTGTAAATGCTCAGTTATTCCTTTGGATATTAAAGCAGAAACACCTACACATCTTACAGAAGCAGCTGAGGATCAATGCGTTCCTGCAGAGATGCAGCTGACTGGCTGAAGATGATGTGTTTGATGAAGCAGAAGGTCTGGTAGTGAAAGCCCGCAGCACTGGCTAATTATTTTTAGAAGTGTTAATCCTGGTGTTCCTCGAGAGCAGCGAGTTCTTGTGTTTGTTCAAAGCAACGGCATGAAGGTGATGAAAGAAGAGCAGTTTCGTCCCAACAGACTACCGCCCGAACATTTCACTCCAGAATGAAGACAAACACAGAAGGATAAAGACTTTAAGGTCTGTTCTTAACCCTCATAATGCATTTGGGTCAGTTTTGGATGCATAAAAAAAGCTTTTAGTAAGGGAATGAAACTCTGCAAATGCTTTACGACTCTCAAAATACACATCATTTTTTTAAATTATTTTTTTGAGAGATATAACCATGTTTCGCGTTTAGGTCATTTTGACCCGGTTATGTATGGAGAACCATTAGTGTCAAAAATACTGTTTGTAAAATTATCTACGAAGTTATGTTAGTGTCAAAAACTTTTGTAAAATATATTTAGCCTTTTCCACGCATCTCACACACTTATCAGACTGCAAATGAATGAATGTGTACTTCTATTGACAAACCATTGCAGCATGAAAAACTGATCATTTTATCATAAAAAATGTGTTAAAGGGGTCATATGATGCTATTTTAAAGATCATTATTTTGTGTATTCGGTGTAACAGAATATGTTGACATGCTTTAATGTTCAAAAAACATTATTTTTCAAATACTGTACATTATTGTAGGTCCTCTATG